AATAGCAGTATATGTGGATGACTTGAACATCCTTGGAACCTCTGGGGAAATCGCCCAAACAGTCGAATATCTAAAGAAAGAATTTGAGATGAAAGACCTAGGCAAGACAAAATTTTGTTTGGGATTGCAACTTGAGTACGTGAATAATGGAATCCTTGTGCATCAAAAGGCATATACTGAAAAAGTACTCAAGAGATTCAATATGGACCAGGCCCACCCATTGAGCAGCCCAATGGTGGTGAGAAGCCTTGGATTGGATAGTGATCCATTCGGTCCAAAGAAGGACGAGGAAGAAGTTCTCGGTCCTGAAGTGCCATACCTCAGTGCCATAGGAGCGTTAATGTACTTGGCTAGCCACACTAGACCAGACATATATTTTGCCGTGAACCTCCTTTGTCTAAATTTAGTTCATGATCAACCCAAAGGCACTAGAAAGGTTTGAAGGAAGGTTTGGTTAAATTTTAAAGTCTATTCTTCCTATGTTTGTTTATTTGGGTTTTATTCTATACTGATCTAACCAAAGAAGGTCTAGTTTGCTTTGGTTTAGTTTGTTTTGCTAATGCAGGTAAGATCAGATTATGGCATGGTCAATAAATAGGAACTACGTGTGGCTTGATCCCTTCCAAGGGTACGTAGGCAGCCTTCTTCAAGGCGCAGCTACTACAACATCAAAGACCATCATATGAGGAGACAACACAGCCTGTATCGCTCAGCTCAAGGACGGCTACATCAAGGGAGATCGGACGAAGCACATTCTACCAAAAGTTCTTCTTCACGCATGACTTGCAAAGGGATGGAGAAGTTCGAGTGGTACAAGTTCGGTCCAGCAACAACTCAGCCGACCTCTTCACCAAGGCATTACCAACATCAACATTGAGGAAGCTCACGCATCAAATTGGGATGCGGAGACTTAAGGACTTTCAGGGATGACCAAAACAGGGGGAGTAATACGTGTTGTACTCTTTTTCCTTCACCATGGTTTTATCCCAATGGGTTTTCCTGGTAAGGTTTTAATGAGGCAGCATCCCCAAGCGTATTACTGAGATCCTTTGGCATCTACACGGTTATGTCATCCAAGGGGGAGTGTTGTAGACCGCATGGTCGGATGGACTCCATAACCGTGGGCCTAATCCATATTCTAGAAGGCCCATGTCCATGTTCTAGAGAATTCTCCTTATGACGGTCTATGTTATACTTAGTGGGCTTTTGGGCTTTAGGATTTACTAGCCCAATGGGGATTTGTCTCCCCTTGTCATGTATAAATATGTATTGAAACCTCATTCATTAATCAATAAGAACAACAAGTTTTATAACACATACCAACTTGTAATGCACCAATACGTATTGATGTTCACAAGGAACACAATCAAGTTCCTACAGAGGCTACAACACGTAAGAAATGTGGTAGACCCAAAAGGTTCCAAAGACAAGAACCCTCGGAAATCAAAGAAAGGTGCAAGGGAAACCGAGAAGGTTCAAGAAACCATTGACATGGCCGGCTAATAGACATAACCCTAAGGTACCAATCAATGAGGTTTGGGATGCTAAACCTCAAAGTCCTGAAGGTGTAAAGAGATCTCTATAAACTATATCATGTCTAGAATACAATGGAACCGAAAAGATGTCGACATCAATGATAATATATTTGCGCACAAGGTAGAAACTAAAATGAATGAGGATCAGGAGCCCACGTCTATACTAGAGTACACTCAAAGACCTGATTGATTAAAATGGTACAAGACCATAAAACGTGGAGCTAAGAATCATTAAGAAGAAGAATGTGTTTGGTCCAATACAAAGGACACCATTCAATGTAAAGCCAGTGGGACAAATGAGTCTTTGTGATTGTGTGAAATAAACATAGTGAAAGCGTAATATATCAGACACGGCTTTTCGCACAAGGATTCACACAAAGACCAGAAATAGAGGAGATATACTCCCCTGTGGTGGATGCTAAGACATTTAAATCTTTGCTAAGTCTGGCTATATGAAAGAGAAAGATTTGCGGCTAATGGATGTAATGCCTGCATATTTATATAAGTCCACTGGATAATATATGAGATTATCAGAGGGTATTGAGCTCAAAGATAAGAAAGATTCTCGAGAACAGCACTGCATAAGGCTGGACAAATCCTTATATGGACTCAAACAAAGCGGACGTATGTGGTATAACCGGTTAAGCGAATATCTCATCAGAGAAGTTTATAAATGATCCCATCAGTACATGTATTTTTATCAAGAAGTTTGCAAACAAAGGATTTGTAATCATAGCAGTGTATATGAATGATTTAAACCTCTGAGTAATCGACCAAACAGTTGAAAGACCTAGGCAATAATTAAGTTCTGTTTGGGATTACAACCTGAGTACGTGAATAATGGAATCCTTGTGCATCAAATGGTATACACTGAAAGAGTACTCAAGGAGATTTAATAAGGATCAGGCCCGCCCATTGACCAGGCCCAATGGTGGTGAGAAGCCTCAGATTGGATAGTGATCCATTCAGTCCGGAAATGCCATACCTCAGTGCCATAGAAGTTCTAATGAATTTGGCTAGACACACTAGACCAAACATTTGTTTTGCCGTGAGTCTCCTGTCTAAATTTAGTTGATGATCAACCCAAAGGCACTGGAAAGGTTTAAAGGAAGGTTTGATTAAGTTTTAAAGTCTATTCTTCCTGCGTTGTTTACTTGGGTTTATTCTATACTGATCTAACCAAAGAAGGTCCAGTTTGCTTTGGTTTAGTTTGATTTACTAATACATGATATTCATAAGATCAGATTATGGTATGGTCAATGAAAAGGAACTATGTGTGGCTTGATCCCTTCCAAGGGTACGTAGGCAGCCTTCCTTAAGGCGCATCTACTACTACATCAAAGACCATCATATTTGAAGACAACGCATCATGTATTGCTCAACTCAAGGATGGCTACACTAAGAGGGATTGAACGAAGCATATTCTGCCCAAGTTCTTCTTCACTCATGAATTACAGAAGGACGGTCAGGTCAAAGTTCAACAGATCCCGGTTTAGTATTGGGCACGGTTATGTCTTCCAAGGGGGAGTGTTATAAACCATATGGATGGACTCCATAACCGGCCCACGGCCCATTAGGGTTTTACCTTATTCTCTGTATCCTGCTATTATCCTTGTATATATATCCCCTATTCTATTAATGAAAGACACAGTTTACAACACTCAACTTATTTTCTTTTAAATCGTTATATTAAACAGTAATAAACAAAAACAATTTAATTTATGATTATTTTTTTCAAATATGAGATTGCGATTTTTTTTTTTCTAAAATTAAGGTTTTTACGCTATCAAAATTCATTCACAATTTAGTTGAGATTAGACAAATTATTTTTGTTACCATTAGAAGTTATGTTATATAAACTACAAAAATTTATATGATAGCACATTTGATTTTCTTTTTTGTTCGAGTTTTCAGATTTTAGATAATAATATAGTTAAATAATGCTTAATTAAATATAATTTATATTATATTTTTAATATATCGTGATATATATATATATATATATATAGAAATATTAACTGTTAGTAAATCTTATTTACTTCGGCCAATGAAAATATTTTAATGTAGAAATTCATGTACTTTTCGTAGTATTATAAAATTTGGTTTGGTTTCACGTTAGTAAATTTGTGTGATCGAACCAAATAAACCTTTATTAATATAAAGTCATTCGGTTCGGTATAAGAATTTATATTTCATTCGTAACAAAGTCTGTTTGGTTTCACGTTAATGAATTTTCGTAATACAACCAAATACAACTTCATTAATTAACTTTTTCACATCATGACTTAAATAATTTCAGTTTAGAAAAAAATTGTAAACGAGAATTTTAGGACAAAAATCCTAAATCAAATTGTTTATGTTTATTTATGTTTTAATATATCTATTTGTTTGAATTTAAATTGAGTTTATTAATAATAGGGTTTATTTTACCATTAATGAAAATGTGAGGGTTTAAAAACCCACAAAAAAAGTTGAAGGTTTTTAATATGTTTTTATGAAAGGTGAGGGTTTTTCTACCCATTTTTCCGGAATTAGATAAAAAAAATTAGTTATAAAAAATAAGTTGATCATCTATATAAATTTGCGTTTAGAAATTAATGTCCAGTTTTTTTTTTTTTCAACAGCTTTAAATATATCTCAAAATAATCATTCTTCAGGAATGTTGTTTACATAAGTGATATGACACGGTTCGGTACAAATTTTCGTGCCAAATTTCAAAGCGACAAGGGTTAATTCTCAACTTTCTTTTTATTTTTAGTTTCACATTGTGCAAATGTAAAGCGGATAAATTAATATCCAACTTTATATACTCCCTCTGTTTCACAAAGAGTGTCGTTTTAGAGTTTTGCACACAGATTAAGAAAACATTAAATTTTTTGTTTTTTCTAAACAAATCATTACCTATATACTTAAACACAATCTGCCCAATAGTAAAACAATCTGCAGAATACTAATAGTCATAAAACATAAAAAATCATTAAATTTTGCATTGAAAATCTAAAACGACACTCTTTGTGAAACAAAAATAAAACCTTAAAACGACACTCTTTGTGAAACGGAGGGAGTATAAGTTATAACATTATTATTAAATTATGGGTTTTGAACTCAAAAACTAATACTATATTAAATTATGAGCTTCAATTCAAAACTAATTGGCAATGAGTAGATTGTCCAATATCTTTTTATATGTAGTACTATTTAATATCCTTCTCAATTTCAATGTGAGATATTATTTCCAATAGCTATGGTTTTAATATTTCAAAAAGGGTTAGGTAGTGGCAGATCGATCCAAAAATATGTTCTTCCACCAACACAATTTGACTTCCAACAGATTACTCGTTCCATCTTCATCAATTTGTATTTAAAAAGTAATTACAGTTTTGTCTTTTTAAGGATGACGTTTTCATAAATGTTCATAATGTTTTAAAACTTAAGTAGTTGTTAAGTTTTGGTTTGGTCGTGAAACCGAGGAGTAGTCAAGAATGGAGACTCGCAACAATATTTTGCTTGCTGTGTGTGCAACTTTCTCCATCTTAAATCTTGTCGAATCTCAAAATTATCAACAAGGTAATCTTGTTACCTTTCTCCTTTTCTTATATGTTTTGTTCATGTATTAAGCCTTTAATCCTTTTCTTAAGACTTTCTAAAATGAAAATACCTCTTTTTTGGTCATATTAGGATTCATCAGTTTGGATTGTGGATTACCTTTAAATGAGTCTCCTTATAACGACTCAGTTACCACTCTAACATATATATCCGATGCCGATTTCACCCGCGGAGGAAAAACTGGTAAAGTGGAAAAGTACTTGGAGAAACACTTTATTACACCATATACAGTTTTGAGATACTTTCCAATTCCAGATGGAATACGAAACTGCTATAGTCTGAGTGTCAAGCAAGACACTAAGTATTTAATCAGGACTGTGTTTCTATATGGAAACTACGACGGTCTTAATACTTCTCCAAGATTTGACCTCTATCTCGGTCCTAATATTTGGACAACCGTAGATGTGCAAATATCAGGTATAGGTGCTCTTGAGGAGATCATTCACATAACAAGGTCTAACAGTTTAGAGATATGTCTCGTCAAGACAGGGACAAGTACACCAATGATATCAGCCATAGAATTAAGACCTTTGCAATATAATACTTATATTGCTCGAACTGATTCCTTGAAAAGATTAGACCGCCTCTACTTTACCAATTCAAATGAAAGTTTACGGTATGACAACTTAACCAGGCTACCATATGATTTTATAATTTTGGGCTTATTGTTCTTAAATTTTGGCAGTTATATATCCAAAAGATGTCCGTGATCGTATTTGGTTTCCTTACTTCGAGCCGGAATGGACGCAAATAAACACAACCTTGAAGGTAAGTGATTCTTCTGATGGCTATGACCCGCCACTAGATGCATTTAAGACCGCAGCCATACCCACTAATGCAAGTGAGAAAATGACCATTACTTGGAGTTTGGACATCTCTGATGATCAAACTTATTGTTACATTTATGTGGCCGACATCCAACAAATCAAAATGATGGTATACAACCATGTAATTTTATGCATATAAGACTTATATTGGATTTACACATACATTAATTTTTGGTATTTTGTTTCATTGGTTTCAGTCATTGCCATTAGGAATATCCAATCTACAAGGGGTTTGAATAGAATCAGTTGGCAGGGTGATCCATGTGTCCCTAAACAATTCATGTGGATTGGTTTAAGTTGTAGTGTTATCGACATGTCCACACCACCAAGAATCATAGCATTGTAAGATCACTCAAACCAGTCTTGTATCAAAACTTAAGCCCTTGAATATATCTGATTTAAGAGTTATCTCATCATTTAAACAGAGATTTGTCTTCAAGTGGATTAACTGGAATTGTACCCCTTAGCATACAAAATCTATCTCAGCTTCAAGAATTGTAAGTAATTCCATGTTTAGATACAGTGAAGGATTTATTCTCCGAATATATTAAATTTTAGTTTGAATTGTTGTCTTAACAAATTCTAGGGACATGTCAAAAAACAATTTAACTGGAGATGTGCCTGAATTTCTAGCCAAGATGAAATCGTTGTTGGTCATGTAAGTTGTATTATATGAAAAAATAAATACTTAATGCCTTCCATCTTTTTTTTTTTTTTTTTTTTTGTTAATGTATCTTTCACACCCACAGAAACTTAAGTGGAAACAATCTAAGTGGTTCTGTTCCTCGAGCCCTTCTTGATAGAAAAAAGGAAGGGCTAAAGCTACTGTAAGATTTACTTTAGATGATCCTTCTATGACACTATCCATAGGTTTTCTATTTGATGTCTTTAAAAACATTTTCTTCTATAGCCTTGAAGGAAATAAAAAGCTATGTGTGGCATGTGGTACAAAATTCCCTGTTGTGCTAGTTGTTGCCTCAGTTTCTTCAGCGGTCATTATCATAATCGGGTTAGTTCTCATCGTCCTTGTAAGAAGGAGAAAGCAATCAGCTGGGAAAGGTACTTACAAGAGAAAAATATAAGCTCCTAACAAAAGCATGAAATCTCATGGAACTCGGTTAACTTCCCCTATGCAGTTATACGCCCGTCGCTCGAATTAAAAAATAGAAGATTTACTTATTCAGAAGTCAAGGAAATGACTAATAACTTTCGAGTAGTTTTGGGCAAAGGAGGATTTGGTGTTGTATATGGTCTACTAAATAATGAACAAGTAGCTGTAAAAGTCCTATTTCATTCTTCATCTCAAGGCTATAAGGAATTCAAAGCAGAGGTACTTATGCCAAAATCTTACACCGAACATTATCATTTTTAGATAATGAGCCTATTATATAAATATAATCATTTGGTTTTTTTTTTTTTAAGGTTGAACTACTTCTAAGAGTTCACCATGTAAATTTAGTAAGCTTAATTGGATATTGTGAAGAAGGAAATGACTTGGCTCTCATCTACGAGCTCATGGTAAATGGGGACTTAAAAGAACATCTCTCGGGTAAATATTACCACTATATTTTTCTATACTTCTCTGAAGCCTAATTAGGCTTTTTGATGTCCCAAGAAGTTTTTACCATTTGGTGGATTTTTGCAGGAAAACGTTCTGGCTCTGTTTTGAGCTGGTCAAGTAGACTTAAAATAGCGTCTGAATCGGCACTATGTTTGTAAAAATTGTCAGAATTCCTATTATTATTATATTCTTTTGATCAAGGCATTTAGTTAATATGTGAAGATTTTATTTTGACAAGGGATTGAATATTTGCATATTGGGTGCAAACCCCCCATGGTTCATAGAGATATCAAAACTACAAATATATTGTTGGGTAAACAATTTGAAGCCAAACTAGCTGATTTTGGACTCTCAAGATCCTTCGTAGGAAATGAGACGCATGTATCCACAGTTGTTGCTGGAACTCCTGGATATCTTGATCCCGAGTAAGTACAATTTTAAAACAAGTCTTTTCATGGGTTGGTTTAAGAAAAGTACATCTTAAGAGTGGTTTTCTTGCAGATACTACCAAACATCTTGGTTAACAGAGAAGAGCGATGTTTACAGCTTCGGGATTGTGTTATTATAAATCATGAGTGGCCAACTTGTGATTGACCAATCTCGAGAAAAGGCGTATATAGTAGAATGGGCCAAGGCTATGCTTGCAAATTGTGATATCGAAATTATTATGGATCCCAATCTCCATCAAGATTATGACACAACCTCTACTTGGAAAGCTATTGAATTAGCAATGTCATGTGTTCACATTTCATCCGCAGAGAGACCAAACATGTCCCGGGTTGTTCATGAGCTAAATGAGTGTTTGAATGTCTGAATACATCAGAAAAATAAGGAGCCAAGATGCAAACTCAATGAAGTCTGTGGATCAGAACATAAGTTTCAACACTGAAATGGCTCCAGCGGCACGTTAATGTGTGATCTATATCTTTGTTTTCGGATGCTATTCTATACATATTTTTTTCCTCATACTCTACACAGTTTATGTGCAATTTTTTGAGGTAAATTGTTACATGTACTTGTGATATAATGCATGACAGACAAAAAGTAAATTTCACTTCTATTGCTGGTGGGGATGGATCATAATAGGAATTTAACAAACAAAATTTTGGTTCTTTCTTGATTTTTTTTTGTTTTGTTACAAGCAGTCGCAGCCCAAAAACAACATAGGGCCTTTGGGCAAATAAAAGTTTTTTTGGCTTAGGACAAACAATTTTTTTGGGGTTTTTAAGTTCTCTTCTTCATGATCATTACTCATCCCTCGAAAGCTTTCCTCTTTCCAAATTGAACAAGTATCCAATTCTACACGAAGCTTCACTACAAACAAGTTTTTTTTTGGTTCAAAGAAGAGGTAAATCGTTTTTTTTTCTCTCTTTACCTTTAACTTCAGAAAGAATTCTCCATTCCAAAAACGTTTGGAATACTATCTTTTATGCAATATTCAAGAAAGCGCTATGCAAGCGGGGACCCAGTGCCAAGCGTTTAGAACGCTTAGTCTGGGCCTAGATGTTTTTAAGCGGTTTAGACATTTATAACATAAAACATTATAACTATGATATTATACTAAGTATTTGATAGAAAAATATTAAATTGTAAACAAATATTAGACAAATCATTTACTTAACTTAGATCGAACAATATATGAACATTGATAACTAACTATATGGAGATAAAACTTAGTTAAAAATTGGAAAATATATACTAAAATGAAGCATATGTGATTTTAGGCGGTCGAAGCAGTTGTGGGCGTTGTCTGAGGGTCTAGCGCCTAGGCGACCGTATAAACCGTTGTTTAGAACACTGCTTTTATGCGGAAAATCGGTCAATTCCCCCCCCCCCCAAACTTAGTTACTTAATCGGATTTATACATATAACTTCTTTGAGTCGTACTTATAATTACGCGAACTTAAGTAATTTTGAATTTTTTACGCGAACATTCCAAATCCGGTCAAAACCATCAAATTGAAAAACAGTGTTAGTATTCTGTTAACTTAGGATACCACGTAGGCGACGTTTTATTTGTATGTTTTCTAAAAAACCATGGGAGAATTCAAACCCATGAGTCCTCCACCAACAATGAGTAAGCTCAATACCAAATATGCTATCACTATTTTCGTTGTACAATCTAACACACATTTATATATATATAATCAAACAAAAAAGTCAATTTGCTTTTATCTTCCGTTCAACTACGTTCAATTTTAGCATCGTTTCATTCTTCTTCGTCATATAGAAGAGATTCATCTCTCCAACGGACGATGATTTTGAATTTGAAAACAATCTTTTTCTTAATTTCGAATTAGATTAATCTTGTTAATGTTATTGGGTTTTATTAGTTATAAATCGAGGCCATCGAGGCCCATTTAGCCGAAGGAAAAATCTGGTGGTGATGTGGCGGCATTTAACACCCTTGATTAAATAGATGGTGTGAACTTTTTCTGCATGCACGACTCTTCATTTGCCAATGACCTTGCTTTAAGAGATTGCTTCACCTTCCTTCACTAATCACTACTATTTCCAAAACACTTCGTTTCTCTCATAAAAATTATTTCTCATAATATCTCATACCATCTCCATTGGGAGTGTCTAGGTGAGACACTCTCCAATAAAACAGAATAAAAAATTAAAAAAGGAGGAGAGAAGACAGAAACTGTTTCTCATTTGAGAAACTCTGAGACACTCATTTTTACAGTTGTCTTCTTCTGATTGGTTTAAATAAACAATTAAATAATAAACTAATAAAATAATAAAAAATTACTAATATTATTTTATTTGTCAGACACTCAATAGAGTTTCTAACTGATGGAAGTGCTCTCATTCTTCTAATATTATTAGCAATCTTCAAGCTCTCTAGGGTTAACAATATAAAGTTACATAGTTTTGTATGAAGTACGGTCGTTGTTGTGTTTAGAATGGGTTCATGTGCAGAATATTCTACAAATGTGGAGATCTGGAGAGAGCATCCTCCTTCTTCTAACTCTCTCAAGATCAACACACTCTCAAAGCTTAACAGTGATGTATACAAATCCCGTCGTTTCTTGTCCGGTGGATACAACTGGTATGTGATCTTTGTTACATCATTATCAAATTACAAGTAATATATATATATATATATATATATATATATATATATATATATATATAATTATGGTTTCTTCTCTACTTCAATTTAAGTAAAGTTGTTCTTTTTGTAACCTATTTTTCCAACTAAAAAATATGTAGGAGATTGGTTATATACCCAAAAGGAAATGAAAAGGACAATGGAAATGGATTTATTTCAATGTATGTGGAATTTGGTGACACAAGCCTTATGTCTACACCACCAAGTGAGGTATTTGCATACAATGGCGGACCCAGAAATAAATTTTACCCGGGTCAATATTTAAAAAAAAAAATTTCATAAGCAAATAAAAAAAGAGTATATAAACTGCTGTTATTTTTTAATTTTTTAAAGTATATAAGACAAAAAGATATGCATTTAAGTTAAAATGGAAAAAAAAAAGACCAAATATGTCATTTGGGATGCTTGAACCCGGGTTTAGATGTGTCAACAACTTGGAAAATACCAACTATGCTGTTGGAACTTTTGTTGCTTATATACACTAAAATATATTTGATTAATTTACCCAGGTCAGGTGACCCACCTTTCTTGTAAGTGGGTCCGCCCCTGTTTGCATATCTTGTGTTCTTCGTCTATAACAAGAAAGCAAACAAATACTTTACTATCCAAGGTTTGTACGCGCACATAGCCTTATATCTCTCTTTGTTTCTACATTTATATACACTTTAATCATTATTCAATATGTTTACGTATAAATATCTAGATGTTGAAGTAAAGCGGTTCAATGCCTTAAGAACGGTGTGGGGATTACCACAAGTGCTTTCACTTGGAACTTTCAATGACCCTAAAAATGGATTTATCTTCGAGGGAGAACATTGTGAGTTTGGTGTTGATGTGATGGTTTCTCCACCTTTTAACAAGTGGGAAGTCGTTTCTTTTGATGAAAAACTCTATAATCCCAAGTTCTCGTGGAATGTTAAGAATTTCTCGATGCTGAGAGAGAATCTTTACATATCCAATAGCTTTCCAATGGGAGGAAGAAAGTGGTTAGTATTTTCTATATAGTCACGTCCATATCCATTAGTTGTATAATTGCTAAGAAAGGGATAATATTTGTTCTCTAGGGTATTAAAGTTGTATCCCAAGTGCTTCTCTACATCAGACGGCAAATGGATCTCCATTTCTATTCATCTAGCAGATAATGAAAGATTAATGGCGGATGAGAGGATTTACACCCGTGGTAAACTCCGAGTTCTAGACCCACGTGGATCCAATCACGCCACAGAGAAATGTATGTGAATCTATTACTACCTTTTATTTATATCTTTTTTAGGACAACAACAATAATGAGAATATTGGTTTGAGATGAAAACAACAAAATAAACTATTTTTAGAGACTGTGATTTACATGATATACATGCTTATTGATATTATGGTTTCTGACTTTTTGATGTAGTTATTTGCTGGCATGATGAATCAAACTCAGGTACTGGCCATGATCAGATTGTGTCAATGGCTAAGCTTCGGGAGGTTTATTTGGACACGGAAAACACGTTGAGTATAGAGGTTGAATTTGAAGTTGTGTCTTCGACCGTTTCTTCTGCTATTATCTAAGCTCTCCCACTTCCCTAAACGCTGTTGATTAAACTCTCTCTTCATCTAAGTGTTCTCGTGGTGTGTTTTTTTTTTGTTTTTGCGGACACTCATAGATTTTCAATGTTTTCAAGCTATGGCACATTCTGTGATGTTCGAGTACAATTATCCATGTGCTCAGATCTTTTCATAGTTTATATCTTGTTCTTCTCAAGGCTTTAGAGTGAAGCAAAGAGATTACTTGGTTCATGGGTTTTGATTCTCTTCTCCATGCTAACACATCATTTCTTATTGCAATCTCACTAGGTTTCTTGTAGCTGAATTTAATCAATCAAAGGTATATATAAAATCCAGGTCTTGGAGATTTTGGGTGACAAACAAGAGGCAAACCAAAATAGTACTTCTCACAAGGAGCTGACCACGAAGGTTACGGTTTAGCAATAAGCCTGTTGAGGCAGTAACAATTAGGCTTGATTTGGTAACAACTAAATATATGCGTCAATACATAAACCAAAAACTAAAGCATATTATTTCACATGTATAATTCTAAGCCTAGTTAACGCCAGAAAATTCAACTAACTTATCTCTTATAATTCTAAGCCTAGTTAACGCCATAATGTTATAATGGTGATTTTCTTTCTTGATAATGTATATTGCCAAAATGAGGCTGAGGCCATCATCAATCTCACTCATCTTGTTGAAGCTTTTTTTGTTACGTAAAAGTGCTTTTTTGTTTTCTTTCCATTTTGCCATATTTGTTTTTTTCTTCTCTCTTAACAGCACATTGACGACTAAATGAGCTATCCAGATTCAAATGGACATTTTCGTTTTTTAGACATTCATGGTCAAAGCCTTAAGAGAACTTTGTCCAAATAGGACCATGACCAACATGACTGTTCGAGGGATCTATGTAAGACCCAACTTCCCACTTAGGCCCATTAAAAGCCCAATCTCTTTAAATAAAGAACCTAAACATGAGAATGTGTGTATATAAGTGTATATATCTCCCTCTTCGTTGACATATATAGCCGTAGCCTCACGTCATCGCCCTCATTGATTACGGCTCTAACGTGTTCTTCACTTATTGTGGTTGTTGAGTTGTCGATCAAATCTAAGTGGAGAACACGTTAGAGCCGTAACGTTCCGTCGTAGTAATCACCGTTCGTCTCTATTTCGTTGGGTAAGGAAACCCAGCCTTAAATTGCTATCTTCTCATGTTGTCTATTTTGTTACCATGAGGATTAGTGGCTTACATCTCAAATTACTTGTGTTTTGAGGGAAAAAGAGGAAGGAGAAATCAGTTCAAGTAGAGGTATTGGTGAACAATTTCCCGTGCGATCTGAAGGAACCAGATCACGATTTTGGTGTCGTTGGATAGATCTTACTGCAAGGAAGACACAAAAATAAACGGTTCTCCATTACGAGGTAAACTCCATCCGCAATTCGAATTGCAAGTTGGACAAAACTCATAGTTTTCTGAACCCCGAAATAACTATCAGATTTCAGATTCAAGTTGGCCTTTTAGAGAGCAGATTCCGGTCATCTTGGAGCATTGGAGGGCAAACCAACGGAGGATACGTTTAGAGAACGAATTGATTATCTTCATGCATAAGGATACTAGATTACCTAGTATAAAAGATTGAAAAACCATCACAAACCTCCCTTTCTGAAGTTAGGGAAGTGATGCAAACCTCCCTTTCACGACGGAGGAAGTGTTAGGGAAGCCACCGGAGCCGTCGTTGTCACCAGAAAAGTAAATCCTAACCGTCATGACGTTTGCTTTGTGCGCAAGAAACACCTGAAACTGGTTAATCTGAAACCCTAAAATAACAGATCTGAGGTACCTTCTTTGGGGAAGTGTTTAGAGATTCAAAACTAATCCGATCAGGCTGAAATTTTGGGGAGGGCTTTGTGGTACAGCAAACTTCAAATTTAACGTGGGATTAAGAAGCTAACGGTCGATTCTGAAGTTACTGGTGCGTTTGTTTAGATACTTAAGTGAGCTATTCTTCGTCATCAAAAGGCAAAGGTGAGGGGTTTGATCTGCGGAGATGTGATTACAAGTTTCTATTTTTATGTTTCATGATTCACTTGCATAGGATTAGATCTGTTTGCTTAGTAGTAATGAATTGTTAATTATGATTGATGATATGATGATTGTTTTAATGATATAGGATGATTGAGTTAATGTCATTGAAATGACAAGTTATTATGTGTTATATGAGAAAGTGGAATTACCATCTTTTGAGATGATGAACAGTGGAAAAGTGGAACAGTGTAAAAGTGGAAAAATGGTTTACATTGAATTGACGGGTTCTTTGTAGCTCAATAATAGACTGACGAGTCCAGTGGAACTAGATAGGTTCAAAAATCAGGGGAGATGATCGAACTTGGAATTAATGTGGAGATCTTGCTTAGGCAAGAATGAGTTTTGTGTTATAGTTTTGCATAGTGATGCAAACTATATGAGTGTTGTGTCTTTTTCTATGTGATTGTTTATTGTTATGTAAAGTTAGTTTCGTGTATCGTATTTTCAGTGGACGGATCTTCTCACTGAGTAATTCTTTACTCACCCATTTTTTCTCCTTTTCCTCAGGTCAGGGTGAGAGTCGTGAGTAGTCGCGCAAATCCGTCTTGCTTGTGGTGTATTTCAGAAACCTCGGGTTAATTTTAATTTACCGTTATTTTCTTATAATTCTAAATTGGTTTTTATTTACGTTTGAGAAAAGGTTTTCAACTATATTTTAGATGATTTAAGACAAATTTATATTGAGTTTCTAATAAAAGAAAGGATTTCCGGAAACGTATGACATTATGAATTAAGAAAGTGGAATAGAGGAAACAATAAGTAAGGTGAACGCACGTCGTCTCAATGTTGAGGGAGACGGGTGTGACAATCTAGATAATACATGAACACAACTATAAGAAAACTACATCATCTTTTCCACCAAAACTAAAAGTCACATTTTCCCGCCTAAACCGCAAAATCGAATTTTCCAACCAAAACCGCAAAATCATATTTTTTCGCCAAAACCGGAAAACAAATTTTTTTTCCAAAATCGAAGATTTCGTTTTTCCGCCAAATTGCAGAATCATATTTCCCACAAAAACCGCAAAATACATTTTCTGCCAAAATTGAAGAATTATATTTTTTTTGCCAAATCGCAAATTTACAATTTTCCGCCAAAACTGTAAAAATATATATAATTTTCCCGTAAAAACCGCAAAGCTGCATTTTTTTGTCAAAACTGCGTATTTGATGAAATGAAAAATCATATGTTTGGCAGGAAAACACATAATCATATTTTACCATGAAAATATCACTGAGAGAGAATAAAATAATTTAGGGAATAAGAACTAAAAAGAATTACTGAGATAATCAACATCCTACATTTTTGCATGTGGGGAAACAAACAAAGTAAGCCTTAAAATTTCTCCAAATCAGAAAACCCTAATTTTAAGGCTTATTAAACAGTCCATATTATCGAGATGAGTTCGCCCCATTTATTTGCGGGTTAAATTAGTTTTCAGCCCATATAGACCAATTTGATTGTAGAAGTGACCATACATAAGCTAACCATTATAATTTGAACTGGTCTGGCCTATGGTAATCATGGTCATTTGATATCCCTAGGACTAATCTTCTATCGTGCAACCAAAAAAACAAAAAAGTAATATTCTCATTGCTTACGCCATGGGCCGGCATTACTGGCGAAAATGAAACTCCACGAAAACAATGACACTTTTTTATTCATCTTTTTCAATGAGTAGTCTCACCCTTCATCATCTTAAGTTAATGAAATATTCCCTATGTTTCAAAATACACAATGTTTTGGTTAAAAAGACACATTTTAAGAACTTTGATTTTCATTTTAAAATCTATCATATTTAATATTTGAATTAAAAAATTCAACCAATTAAAACAAAAAACTGCAGAATACAAATAGTTATAAGAATCAAATGTATTTAAAGTTGTCTAGAATTTTGCAAAACATCCTATATAATGAAACAAAATAAAAACTCTAAAACATCCTATAATTTGAAACAGAGGGAGTAGTTGAATTTTTTTTTTTGTGGTGTAATATTTGTTTCATGAATTCATAGGGAAAGAAACAAAAGAAGAAGTTATTTATTACGAAAAAAAACACACCTAAGCTTTATATAACTCTCGTAGACAGTTAACACACACAAAGGCCTGGCCTACACAAACACACACAAACAAGGAGGGTTGACGAGATGTTTTTTGAGTAAACGAAGAAAAGTACAAAAAACACACTGATAAGTAATTGTCTATCTAACGACTTATTTTCTTTTCATTTGCTAGGTCAAGTCTATAGTGACATAGTCTATAGATATTTCAAATGCGAATAAGATAAGACCACAAAAATATAGCCGAAATTAAATACTATCAAAAATAATATAGAGAGAAATCGTGTAAATAACGTCACACATTTAATACAAAACATGTCCGAATCTCCAAACTAAAAATTTCTCAAATATATGTACATGAAATTTCCTCAAGAAGAAAATAAAACAGAACACAAGAAACTGTCCTAAAAAGAAAGATGAGAAGTGTACAAAACTACCACCATCCTTACTTCATATTCTTCATCTTAATTCTGTTTCTTGCTTTCTCTGTTTCTGCAAACACTTTTTCAGCCACAGAATCTCTCACTATCTCAAGCAACAAAACCATTATATCTCCTAGTCAAATCTTCGAGCTCGGTTTCTTCAATCCCGCATCAAGTTCGCGTTGGTATCTCGGGATTTGGTACAAGATAATCCCTATACGAACCTACGTATGGGTTGCGAACAGAGACAATCCTCTCTCTAACTCCAACGGAACTCTCAAAATATCCGAAAATAACCTAGTCATTTTCGATCAATCCGATAGACCTGTTTGGTCGACGAATATAACCGGAGGAGATGTGAGGTCACCAGTGGTGGCAGAGCTTCTTGATAACGGTAATTTCTTGCTCAGAGACTCCAACAATAGACTTTTATGGCAGAGTTTCGATTTTCCAACAGATACTTTACTTCAGGAGATGAAATTGGGATGGGATCACAAAAACGGATTCAATAGAATCTTGAGATCTTGGAAAAATACGGAAGATCCATCAAGCGGTGATTTTTCGACTAAACTCGAAACTAGTACAAAGAGTCGATACGGTACCGGAGCGGTCCGTGGAACGGAATAGGGTTTAGCAGCGTAGCAGGGACGAACCAAGTTGGTTACATAGTTTACAATTTCACAGCAAGTAAGGAGGAAGTGACTTACTCATACCGAATCAACAAACCCAACATTTACTCGATATTAAACCTAAACTCCGCGGGATTTTTACAACGATTGACTTGGATGGAGGCAGCACAGAGTTGGAAACAATTATGGTACACACCAAAGGACCTATGCGATAACTACAAAGTGTGTGGGAATTACGGTTATTGCGATTCGAACACTATACGGAATTGTAATTGTATCAAAGGGTTTAAGCCAATGAACGAGCAAGAGTGGGACTTGAGAGATGGTTCCGCTGGTTGCATGAGGAAGACAAGGCTGAGCTGTGATGGTAGAGATGGGTTTGCGCGGTTAAAGAGAATGAAATTGCCGGATACTACAGCCACAATTGTGGACAGAGACATTGGGTTGAAAGTATGTAAAGAGAGGTGTCTAAAAGATTGTAATTGCACGGCGTTCGCTAATGCGGATATTCGCTAATGCGGATATTCGCTAATGCGGATATTCGCAGGGGACAAGAGAATTAAAAATGAAAAAATGATAGGTTCGAGTATCGGAATGAGCATTTTGCTTCTTATAAGTTTCATCATATTCCATTTTTGGAAAAGGAAGCAGAAACGATCAATAGCAATTCAAACACCTATTGGTAAATCAATAGCTTTCATTTCCTTTACTTTTTACTTTAATTTTTGATAATCAAATGTCTTGAATGTTTTTTTTTTCGTGTCTGAATGAAACAGTTGATCAAGTGAGAAGCCAAGATTCTCTAATGAACGAAGTAGTAGTATCAAGCAGGAGTTACCAATCCGAAGAAAACAAAACAGAGTACCTAGACCTTCCATTGATTGAGTGGGAAGCTCTAGCCATGGCAACAAACAATTTTTCTAAGGACAACATGCTTGGACAAGGTGGTTTCGGTATTGTTTACAAGGTAAAAGTGATTTAAAACTTATTGAAAATCTATCACTGCACAAGGTTTCATTGTATAATCAAATGTGTGTAGGGAATGTTACTTGATGGAAAAGAAATCGCGGTAAAGAGACTATCAAAAATGTCTTCACAAGGGACCGATGAGTTCATGAACGAGGTTCGATTAATTGCAAAGCTTCAGCACATAAACCTTGTCCGGCTTCTTGGTTGTTGCGTCGATAAGGGTGAGAAAATGTTGATCTACGAGTTCTTGGAGAATCTAAGCCTTGATTCTCATCTCTTTGGTTAGTGACTTAAAACAGCTTATATATGCTCTAATAATTGATCATCTTTGGGAATAAGTTCACACGTTATTGGTTGTATTCGATTTGTAGACAAAACCCGACGCTCTAACTTAAATTGGCAAAAGAGATTTGATATTATCAATGGAATTGCTAGAGGACTTCTATATCTTCACCAAGATTCACGGTGTAGGATTATCCATAGAGACTTGAAAGCAAGTAATGTATTGCTTGATAAAAATATGACTCCGAAGATCTCGGATTTTGGGATGGCTAGGATCTTTGGACGGGAGGAGACAGAAGCTAATACAAGGAGGGTGGTTGGAACTTAGTAAGCAACCATTCTCCAAAAAAAAAAATTAAGAGCATTTATCTCAAATCCAAATTTGAAAAAAATACCTCATAACATGAGTTTATTCTTCGTTATGTAGCGGCTACATGTCTCCAGAATATGCAATGGACGGGATATACTCGATGAAGTCGGATGTTTTCAGCTTTGGGGTCTTGCTTCTGGAGATTATAAGTGGCAAAAGAAATAAAGGATTTTACAACTCAAACCGTGATCTTAATCTCCTCGGTTTTGTAAGCTAAGAACCTCTTGAATTTGATATTATTTTGCACTCATAATCTGATTATAACACTAAAGAAAGATTACATCCTTTATGCACAGGTGTGGAGGCATTGGAAGGAAGGAAAAGGGCTAGAGATTGTAGATCCGATCAACATAGATTCTTCGCCATCAACTTTGCGGACACATGAAATCTTAAGATGTATACAAATTGGTCTCTTGTGTGTTCAAGAACGTGCCGAAGACAGGCCAGTGATGTCCTCGGTAATGGTGCTGCTTGGAAGCGAAACCACGGCTATAACTCAGCCTAAACGTCCTGGTTTTTGTATTGGGAGAAGTCCTCTTGAGGCTGATTCTTCGTCAAGTACACAACGTGGCGATGAATGTACAGTGAATCAAATCACCGTCTCAGTCATTGACGCTCGGTAATTTGGAAATTTACCTACCCAATCTGTTTATATGCATATCTTTTATTTGCAAATCTCAATGGCAATTTTTCGTAAAAAAAAGAAGCCTCAACAAGAGTACACGATGCAAAGTTGAGGTTTTTTCTTTTCAACGAAAATGCATAGTTGAGGCTTTTTATGAGATTTTTTCCTTATTTTATATGTAAGTCTAATTAAAAAAAAAATTACTTCATGATTAGATAACTTGCTCTATCTGATTTAATTTAGACAAAGATGCACCACATGTTTCGCATGATTTTGATTAAGAGCGAGGACTATTAAAACAACCATTTAGACGAAGACCAAAAATGAAGGAAAATATGAAGATGGAGTTCAAAATGAAAGATTTGGAGTTGTTACTCCAAGAGTTGAAGAAAGCAAGAGCAAACTTGGTGTGAGACCGAAACTCAATTAAGAGGGAGTTTAGTAATGATTAATATTTGCTGTTGTGCCTGAGGCAGTACGGACTACAAAATATAATGTTTGCTTAAGAAAAGTTGTAGGAAGCGAACATAGAACTTTATGGCAATTACCACAGAGGACTTTATAAAACAAATCGAAATCATCCTTTTTTTGAATTCATCGGTGAAGAAGCATTCTCTTGCATATAACATATTGCATGTCACCAGCAATATTGAAGTTTTATATAATTCTCGTACACACACACAAAGGATTGATAAATAATAAAAAATTTCTTTTCATTTGGTAGGTCAACTCTATAGTGACATAGTCTATAGATATTTCAAATACGAACAAGAAGACCCGGAAAATAAAGCCGAAAATGAAATATTATCAACAATAATATAGAGAGAAATCGTGTAAAATAACGTTCACACATTTAATGCAACACATTGTCTGATTTAGTCAAAGATAAAAATTCTCAATATATGTACATACAATTTGCTCAAGAAGAAAAATAAAACAGAACACAAGAAATTGTCCGAGAGAGAGATGATGAGAAGTGTACAAAACTACCACCATTCTTACATCTTCATCATCTTAATTCTGTTTCTTGCTTTCTCTGTTTCTGCAAACACTTTTTCAGCCACAGAATCTCTCACTCTCTCAAGCAACAAAACCATTATATCTCCTAATCAAATATTCGAGCTCGGTTTCTTCAATCCCGCATCAAGTTCGCGTTGGTATCTCGGGATATGGTTCAAGATAATCTCTAAGAGAACCTACGTATGGGTTGCAAACAGAGACAATCCTCTCTCTAGTTCCAACGGAACTCTCAAAATATCCGGCAATAACCTCGTCATTTTCGATCAATCCGATAGACCTGTTTGGTCGACCAATATAACCGGAGGAGATGTTAGATCACCACTGGTTGCAGAGCTTCTTGATAACGGTAACTTCGTGCTTAGAGACTCCAAAAATAAAGATCCAAGAGGATTTTTGTGGCAGAGTTTCGATTTTCCGACAGATACTTTACTATCGGAGATGAAATTGGGATGGGATAACAAAACCGGATATAGCAAATTATTGAGATCTTGGAAAACCACAGATGATCCATCAAGCGGCGATTTCTCGATTAAACTCCGAACCAGCGGTTTCCCTGAATTTTACGTATGCAATAGAGAGTCCATAACATACCGGAGCGGTCCATGGATCGGAAATCGGTTTAGCAGTGTACCAGGGACGAAGCCACTTGATTACATAGTTAACAATTTTACTATGAGTAATCAAGAAGTAGCTTACACATACCGAGTCAACAAAACCAACATTTACTCGATATTAAGCCTAAGCTCCACGGGATTATTACAACGATTAACTTGGATGGAGGCAGCACAGAGTTGGAAACAATTATGGTACTCACCAAAGGACCTATGTGATAACTACAAAGAGTGTGGGAATTACGGTTATTGCGATCCGAACAGTTCACCTATTTGTAATTGTATCAAAGGGTTTGAGCCAATGAATGAGCAAGCGGCTTTGAGAGATGATTCCGTTGGTTGCGTGAGGAAGACGAATCTGAGTTGTGACGGTAGAGATGGGTTTGTGCGGTTGACGAAGATGAGACTGCCAGATACTACAACGACAATTGTGGACAGAGGAATTGGGTTGAAAGAATGTGAAGAGAGGTGTCTAAAAGATTGTAATTGTACGGCCTTTGCTAATACCGATATTCGTAATGGCGGATCCGGTTGCGTGATTTGGACCGGAGAGCTGTTGGATATCCGAAATTATGCTAAGGGAGGTCAGGATCTTTACGTTAGACTAGCCGCTGAAGATCTCGGTTAGTTCTTTTTCCTTTACATTTAATAAAGTGTTTTTTTTTTTGTTGACTAAGAGATTATGAGCCAAGGTCCGTATACCCACCCTTTCAAGCTGCGGACCAAATTAAATCATGTAATATGGTCTCTTCCCAAACACAATTTAAACTCCTGATCTATGAATCTAAAGAGTCTTTGGTCAACAAAGTATATAGTTGATGTTTGGTAAACTTTTAGGTTTATTTTTTGAGAGCTACTAAATATCAAACTAGGGAAAAAAAAAGTTGAATATCGGAGAAGATGGCTAATATAGACTATATACTGTTAAAGATTTGGCGATAATCTGAAGAGAAAAACGTTATGTATACAAAAGTTTTTGGATAATGTATAACTTTGGTAAGTTGTTGAGTATTGCAAGTCAAATTTAATTACATTGTTATTGTTTAACATACTATAAATTTAACCAAAGATTTTCTAGCAAAAAAAACTAATATATCAAAAGATTAATATGGTTTAAGCTAGATCCAATACCAAAACAAATCTTTGTTTAAGTTTTTAATTAATTATTTTGTTTGTTTTTCGTATATATATATGATAAAAAGTACAAGGATTTTGTTTTTGACAATTACGTAGAAGGAAATATATGTCTTCTTTTTTTTTTTTATTGCAGAGGACAAGAGAATCAAAAATGAAAAAATCATAGGCTCAAGTATTGGAGTGAGCATTTTGCTTCTTTTAATGTTCATCATCTTCCATTTTTGGAAAAGGAAGCAGAAACGATCAATAGCAATTCAAACACCGATTGGTAAATAAATAGCTTCCATTTCATGTATTATTTATTTACTTTTACTTTTAATAATCAAATGTCTTAATTTTTTTTTTTTTTTTTTTTGGTGTCTGAATAAAACAGTTGATCAAGTGAGAAGCCAAGAATTGCCAATGAACGAAGTGGTAATATCAAGCAGGATTTACAGATCCAAAGAAAACAAAACAGAGTATCTAGAGCTCCCAATGATGGAGTTGAAAGCTCTAGCCATGGCAACAAACAATTTTTCTAACGACAACAAGCTTGGACAAGGTGGTTTCGGTATTGTTTACAAGGTAAAAGTAATCCAAAATTTATTGAAAATCTATCACTGCATAAGATTTCATTGTATAATCAAATGTGTGATCAAATGTGTGGTAACAGGGAAGGTTACTTGATGGAAAAGATATTGCGGTAAAGAGATTATCGAAAATGTCTTCACAAGGGACCGATGAGTTCATGAACGAGGTTAGATTAATAGCAAAGCTTCAGCACATAAACCTTGTCCGGCTTCTTGGTTGTTGCGTCGATAAGGGTGAGAAAATGTTGATCTATGAATACTTGGAGAATCTAAGCCTTGACTCTCATCTCTTTGGTTAGTGACTCAAAACAGCTTATGTTCTAATAATTGAACATCTTTGGGAAAAATTTAACACTTTGTTGGTTGTGTTCGATTTGTAGACAAAACACGACGCTCTAACTTAAATTGGCAAAAGAGATTTGATATTATCAATGGAATTGCTAGAGGACTTCTATATCTTCACCAAGATTCACGGTGTAGGATTATCCATAGAGACTTGAAAGCAAGTAACGTTTTGCTTGATAAAAATATGACTCCGAAGATCTCGGATTTCGGGATGGCTAGGATCTTTGGACGGGAGGAGACAGAAGCTAATACAAGGAGGGTGGTCGGAACTTAGTAAGCAATCATTCTCAAAAAAACAAACAAAGAGATTTTATCTCAAATCCAAATTTAAGAAAGAAAAAAAAAAAAAAACCTCATGTTTAACATATGAGTTTATTCTTCGTTATGTAGCGGCTACATGTCTCCAGAATATGCAATGGATGGGATATTCTCGATGAAGTCCGATGTTTTCAGCTTTGGGGTCTTGCTTCTGGAGATTATAAGTGGCAAAAGAAATAAAGGATTTTACAACTCGAATCATGATCTTAATCTCCTCAGTTTTGTAAGCTAAGAACCTCTTGAATTCGATATTGTTTTGCACTCATAATCTGATTATAATACTAAAGAAACATTACATCCTTTATGCACAGGTGTGGAGGCATTGGACGGAAGGAAAAGGGCTAGAGATTGTAGATCGGATCAACATAGATTCTTCATCATCAGCGTTCCGGACACAAATCTTAAGGTGTATACAAATTGGTCTCTTGTGTGTCCAAGAACGAGCCGAAGACAGACCAGAGATGTCCTCGGTAATGGTGATGCTTGGAAGCGAAACTACGGCTATTACTCAGCCTAAACGTCCTGGTTTTTGCATTGGGAAAAGTCCTCTTGAGGCTGATTCTTCTTCAAGTACACAGCGCGACGATGAATGTTCAGTGAACCAAATCACTCTCTCAGTCATTGACGCTCGGTAATTTGTAATTTACCGACCCAATCAGTTTATATGCATATTATAATATATGCATGTAAATCTTAATAGCAAATTTTTTCTTTTTTTTTTTTTTTTTTTTGAATGAATGTAAAATTTATTTCATCAAAAAAAACCGGTTGTACAACGAGTGCAACATTTAGAGTTAAAATATTTGAAAGATTGCTAGCATTCAATAAGATGAACAAGAGTTTTTAAGTGCTACGAGTATGGAACCAGAATCGAAGACCCTCCTCGTAGTCTTTGCTTCCCGCTGCTCGGATGGTGCTAAACCGGTTTCGAACATTTTTGTCTATTAAGCTAACGAGCTTGGAAGGAGGAATGGGAGTATCACCATGTCTTCTGCCGTTGCGTTCACGCCATAAACTGTGTAGTGCTGATTGGAATACATACCTTAGAGTAAAAGTATGTAATTTTGGCTGGGAAGTATCAAGTAATAACGGAGAGATGAGGCTCCAATTATTTGTGTACCGATCTTGGAGGATGCCAGCGGTTAGGGAGAACCAGACCTGTGAAGAGTAGGGACAAGAGAAAAAGAGATGGTCTCTTGTCTCAAGATCGTCTCCACAAAATACGCAGTCCACCTGAGCACCCGCAGCCCATTTCTGAAGTTTGTCTCCCGTAGCTAGTCGATTGTGAAAACCCAACCAAGCCATGAATGAGTACTTAGGCGTGGAATAAGGAAACCACACTCCTTTGTACCATTCACATGTCGGGTGGAGCTCTCGAAGTTGATGCCAAGTTTGTTTCGAAGAGAATTTATGCTTAAAACAATCTGGTTTTAGCCTCCATAGAGAACGATCAGGTTCCTCTGTTCTTCTTAGACGAGTCAAATCAATATGGTCTTCTATCTTGTTGAGATCCTGCACTCGGTGTCTTCTTCTTCTATGGGAGTCCAGCACATCCGCAACTGAGGCGTGATTTGTTATTCCCATATCAATGATACCTCTAGACCCCATTAGGTTAGACAACTTCCCTAAGGGACTCCATATATCATACCAAAAAGAAGTTGATCGACCAGACTTTACTTCCATCTTATGAAATTCTTGAGCTTTGTCTCTGTACTTCAATATTTTCCTCCACATCCATGAACCTGAACACATAGTCGTCCTGACAGACCAGAACGTCCCTCTGCGAATCAAATTTTTACTACATGCATGGTTGGATAACTTGCTCTATGTAATTTAATTCAGACGAAGATTCACTACATGATTCGCAGGATTTTTTTTAGAGCAAGAACTATTGAAACAACCATTTAGATGATGACCAAAGCATATATGTTAGACAATAGCAATATGCATATTTTAGAGTCCAGTCACCTATATATATTAAAGGAGGCATTAGCGAGAGAAATTCTCTAAAACTGGTAGATGAATATACAAAAAAATTGCTTACACATATGTCAGCTTGATTGTGAGGATATTTTGTATGTTCTTCAACATAATGACTATTGTAGATCTAAGAAATTGGTATCGAACATTGAGTTCCTAATGTTCATATATACACACAATGCTATGAGTATGACTGAGTCTTTAGAAAAACCGACAACACGATTAGTTCTAGATCAGTGAGCTCTAACTTTTACTTAAGACTTCCGGTAAAAGAAGAGATCCCTCTTAAACAATCTTCATAATCTTGCATGAAAAGAACACTGAAAGAAAAACTATGGCTGCAGCATACATTATTAAAATTGTAGGATTTTTGTTGCCTGACTAAAGAAAACATGGACGGAGGTGCAAAGACAACGGCGCTGCATAAAAAAGAAGAAGATAGTTTAGTCATGGGATAGTGTTTCACATAAAAAGAAGAGAAAACAAAAAACAAAGAGGAGATAGTGATTTCACATAAAATGAATTACAAACCCAACGACAGACACAGTCCATATAGAGTTTAAACAAGCATTCGTTAAAAGGCGCAATCCATACAATTTCCAGATATCTCAGGCCCGTCTCTACCCCATGACAACATTATTGGTCCAAAACCATTTTCAAATAATTTAGTGAAAAAGGGTTCAATTTTTAGAAATTTTTTTTAGTAAGAGATTTTAATTTATTTTAGTTTTGCCAAAGGTCCACCCATATATTGAGACACTGAGAGATCCGGATGAGGAAGCATGATACCAAGCTAAAGAATCCTTCACAAAATCTCATTACTCTAATAGCATTAGATATATTAAAATTGTGATCTAAGATACACCACGTGAGCAATGATCAATTGACCAATCTAAGTATTTCTGACACAAATGGCAAAAGATAATGAAGAAAAAAAAAAGTCACAACAGAACGCAAAAACACACTGTTTTAAAAGACCAAAAGGAATGCCAAATTGTCTGCTTTTAAGAAAGAAACAGTCAAAAATCACTTAGGATCTTTGGAGTTAGATGTTGAAAGTTGAACCTTTCTTCTAATCTTCCACACTTTCTTTAGCTTCACTTGTTTCCTACAAAACAAAAAACAGAGAATAAACCTGAAACTGCTTTTATATGAAACTCCTGAAATCACAAAGACTTATCAAAGAAGCTTTACTTGATTGGTTTGGGAGTCACAGTTTCTTCATCCACAACACTTAGCAATGCAAATGATCTCGAAACGTCGTTTACAATGTCCTTCTTTAAGCAAGAATTGGAATCAACCGGCCATCGCATTGGTACAACTAAATCTCTGCATCAATATGAAAACATAAAAACATAAATGTCTCATGTTTCAGTCTAATTAACGCCACAAAATTTAACTAACTCACCCTTGAGAGCATATGTATCGACACCGTTTTATCTTGACTTTCGTGTATCGCTTGTAATGTTTCTCTAGATGTTCCATGGCGCGAGAAACATCAGAAGATGGCAAAACCTGCCAGATCTTCAAAACTTGGACATGGTAATTATTTTTCTTGAAAATGTCTATTGCCCAAATAAGGCTTAAGCCATCATCAATCTTCTGTTGTCTCAACAGATACTCACTCTCAATCTCATCCTCTTGTTGAAGCAGCTCTTTCCCATTAGATAACTTCTCCAAAAAGTTCATAACTCTTTTGTTAATTTCCGAGTCTACGAACGTTTCCAGAGATTTCAAGAACTCATTGCTAAGCCAAACCTTCCATATCGAATTTTCGAAGGAAATAAGCTTCTTGTTTTGAAGCTTATTAAGATCATCAAGAGCTGTTGTTGATCTTTCAATACACTGAGCTAATGATTTATCTTCTTCTGCATCATGGAAACAGTTTCGTGCTTGCGCATCGACTACTAACTGCCTCCACACTGATTTATTGTTTGTTAAAGTCGCCTCGTTTCCAAGAATCCATAAGCAATACCTACAAACACAAAGAGTAAATGACTCGAGAACAAAACAAAACAGCTTCACAAGAATAGCTAAATCAAAGAACAGAGAAAGTGTTTAGATACCTAGCGCGAGTGAGTGCTACATTAGTTCGTTGTTGGTTAGACAGAAAACCGATTGCTCCTTTACCGTTAGACCTGACAGTTGAGATTATAATGATATCTTCTTCACCGCCTTGAAACCCATCTACGGACCTAACACTCACTGTGAATGTCCCTTCGGTATTATACATTTCGCCTATCCTTTCTTGGATAGCAAACACTTGAGCTTTGTAAGGTGAAATAACACCTACGCTGATCGATCTTCCCGTCTTTCTTGATACTAAAGATTACATAACAAAACAAGAATCAACATCAAACTCTACTTTAAAGACTGATCTGAATCAAAATTTGTTTACCTGAATAAAGCTTTGACACTATCTCAGCCACAACAGAGACCTCCACTACGTTTTTCGAACTATATCCTTCTCCAAACTGTTCTCTTCCATATGCTATGTTGATGAAAGAGTAAGGTCCAAACATTTTCTCAGGAAGAAACTTTTTCTCATAACTTCTCAGTCTCACAGAAGGAGCATCCAAAATCTTCATATCGTAAAACTCTCTGTTCGGGAAAATACTAATCGACGGATGCATTCGGTATTGCATGTTCAGCAACTGTTTATTATGCCCCAACAACACCAATCTTTCAAACAAACTCCTCCCAAGATCAGCTTCTGAAGCAATCTGCACATAACTGGTATAGTAAGCAAAGAGAAGAAGGTGAATATGTATGATAATGTGTAACAAAACTAACCTTGCTTTTAATCATTGCAGGCAATTGCTTCTCATCACCGATCAAAATCGCGTGTTGAAGTCCTGGAAGCTGCAAAGGTATCGCTGATTCGCATTCTTTTAACTGAGCAGCTTCGTCAATCACAAGAAGCTGTATTGGACTACTCATGTGTAACTTAGCAGAGCTTGATGCTGTGCAGAAAAGCAGATATGCATTGTCTAAGCAGAGTATTTTAAGTTCAAACTTTGATATAAAATCCGGAAGATTGATACTTGTAGAAATCGATGTCAACATCTTCAGACAATCTTGCTCTCTTGAATCATTCTCCAATCTTTCGTCACCGGTATCTTTACGGTTATATTTCCTTCTTCCATGACAAGACTTCTTACCATCTCCCATAACATCAGAAACCGAAATGTCTCTAAGGAGATCATTAGTCTGATTCATTTTTTCCGCCACACGAAAGGAGAGCAAAGTAGTTGGTAAATGAAGACACAAAGTTGTAAACTGATGCTGCAGATCATTTCTTAGTCTGCTCAGCCTCTCCTCCACAAATTCCTTAAAAGAAAGACTTGTTTTATTTACGGAATTGAACTGACGATACTCTCGTTGCGGATCACTGAGCAAACAGATCATACGGTTAACATTTGCCCTCCATCCAGTCATAGCCATAAAGCATCTATAAAGCTCCTCAACTCGGTACTCAAGGAAGACATCGAAAAGATCTTCCCGGTCATCGATTTTCATCCTTTCTTTATTACCAAACAACACAATATCTCCAAGACCATAACCACCAAACCTCAATGACTCAGAGACTAATTTCACAAGTCTTGAACAAACTTCCAAAACAGCTATGTTAGTTGGAGCACAAGTCAATGTCCTGCATCTCATTTTCAGAAGGTTCAAAAGCAGAACACTTGTTGTTTTCGTCTTCCCCGTGCCCGGGGGTCCCCATATAAGTTTGATATTGTTGGAGTGGTAGCAACTTTTAGCTTCTAGACAACTCAAAATCGCATCCTCTTGAGATGAATTCAGTTTGAATGAACGTAGCATCCGCGCTGAGTGATCTGACACTACATTCTCACTGTTTTCTTTACAAGCAACACAACTTCCTCCATCAACCTACACAAGAAAAAGATTTCAATATATGATTTTGGTTCTGTTTCAAAACTTAACTTAATTACCTCATTGTTGCTTTGAAGTACTCTTGAAATAAGCTTCAAGTTTCCTCCTTCTGGATGTGGATGCAACGCGCTCCAAATACGAATATTTGTCATCATGTTGATCAAATTAACTCCAAAGAAACTTAAGCGTTTCCTCTCACCCTTTCCTCTCTTTGTCGACGTTCGCTTATCGTCATCATCCTCGAAAATAATAGGTTTAGAAGCCAAAATAGTTATCAAATGTGGATTATTTTCATTAACCCCACAAACAAGAGCTAGCAAATGAGGCTCATTGGAACATCTCAAGTCATCGATTCGAATAGGCCTCTTATCTGTCACTGCAATAAGATCATTAAACTCTAGCAGATTTTGACCTCCATTGGCCACATTATCATTCACCATCTGCAAAGTAACCTCATAATAAAGATCCTTAGGAGGTTTAAAATCTTTCCCTGGCTTGATTTCCCAAAACTTGAAAGCTTGTGCACGACGTATCGTTCCCATACTTGACAACAAATCAGCATGTGTCTCTTCAATAATCGGATTAACAAATGACTCAAAATACTCTTTGGTTGATGTAAATGTGTTAGGAATCTTCCCTACCTAATAACCAAGAACACAAAATCCATAAAGCAACAAAAAAAAAAAATGTATTTAAGTAAAGACAAGAGTCAGAAGAATACATAACCTTTCCTTTGTAAAGATTTGAGCTTAACACATCACGAAGAGACCAAGAGAAGACAACATCGACTAAATCTCTTCCTTTGATGATTCTTTCCTTCTTCTTGGTTTCTTTTGATACCCATAATTGTTGCATCTTTGAAATACTCTGTTTCTGCAAATCTCAAGACCTCTCAACTTTTCTGTTCACATGCCTAGCTTTTTAGAATGAGAAGATGAAGAAATACTTAGTGAGGAGGAAGACCAAAGGTTTGGAGTGTTCAAGTCTAAAAGACATGTTCTTTTTCTTTTTCTTTTTCCTCCTAGGAAAGGACCAATAATATTAAACATTACTTTCACTTTTAGAAATTTCTGACTAGGTTTACGCAATCTCAATTTATGTTATTTTCTTTTTTTGTGATAATCTCGATTTTTGTTAAATTCTTATGTTTTTTGGCAACGATTTATGCTAATATCCTTGTGTAGATATTCTTTGCGATTTTTCTTTCTAAATTTATATAACAACCTCCAATTTCATATTTACTAGCCTTAATCTATATGCCTATAGTAAATATAAATTCTGGAAACGAAAATTAATTTTTATTTTCTTCTAAAAACAGATTGTACAATGCTTACAACTTTATTCAGCTTTTTTGTTTCGTCTTGTAAATACTATTAAATATTGGGTTCTTACTCAGCATTTAAAGTCAACTTTATTGTCAGCAAGACCTTTACACACATCACTTGTCGAAAATTCCTAATAAGTAACGTTGACGTGATTGATTAGAGTGACATGTATAGACTCTTCAGTACATTCTATATATATTTATTTGTTTCCAATTTCTTACTTTCCTTTAATTTTTGTATTGGAAGGTGTATTTCTTTTATTTTGTTAATTTTCCTTTAAATTTTTGTAACTTGTGTCGACTTTCTCAAATACAGAAAATAACAAAAGTACGTAATATTATTGATTTGCTTTCTCAAATACAGAAAATACAGAACATATAAGATTAAAAGAATTTGTCATTACACAAAACAGTGCTGCCTCTAGTTTCTGGCAACGTGAATACAAGAGTTCAATCAAAAGAGACCAAACGACCATAATCCATTAGTCCGACCTGCAGCCACCTTAATAGGACTGAGAACACCGGCAAACCAATGCTTGTCTTGCCATGGCAAGCATGTAGGGAATAACTCAATTGTATATATCATCTCCATGTTAAAAGAAGAGCAGACACTAAAATATGCCACAAGCTCCAGTATTAGTTGAATCGTTCCGCTCTGGTTATCGATCCTTTGTAAGATAATAAATAAGAAGTTTGAGATATCGCTTAACGCCGCGAAACCGATAATTTCACCTCTTATGTTGATGAGTCTATCAACGAAGAATCTCTTACTAATAAAAGGAACTAATTGAGGCTTCTAAGAGTGTCCACATCAGCAAAACAAAACTCACCTAAGAGGAAGCCACGCCAACAAACATTTGAAGACGAGATAGAAAATGAATTGAGTTTATGGCCCATTTCAAAGCCCATGAACTAAAACGTCGTGTTACCATGTGACATCTTCAATGAACCACTAATCAGTCTATGACACGTTGAAGAGCAACCAAAACCTTTCTTCTCCCTCTCCTTGAGTTAGTCCGTTTTGAGTCACTTGCACTCCCACGTTCACAGATAAATCATTCCCACATCCTCTTTCACACGTTTAATCGCATCTTCCATTTTTAACTCATATCATTACCGTATTGACTTCTCACTTCTCTGTATTTAACAATCAATCTCTTTTGTAAACTCTAAAACTATGTAACAAATTTACTTGAAATATTTTCTCCCTTTTGATTTTGAAGGCTAACAGTCGGGAATAGTCACGTTAATGGGAGATCTAGATCGATATATCACCACCGTCCACCCGCAAGGCATGAAAAACGACAAGGCTTGCGATCCTCGAAACGCCGCTGCACACAGAACCCTAGCGTTCATCTCCAGTTTATAATTCGTCACGCTTATCGATGACGACTACGGTATGGTTCCACTTTCTCTTCCAACAAAAATTCAGATTATTTATGGTATTAGAACAATATATCTGCAGGAACAAAAGGACTACGCGAAAGAAGATCTTGCAAGGATTTATTAAGGACGTCAACGGCAGCAAAGATGACTACAGTATGGATCCACTTTCTGAATTGTGTAAGGTTTTCGTATTTGCAACCAAAAGTAATTTCCAAAGACCTTCGTTATTCTTGAAATTCTAGAATTTCATTCTTTTAGTGCAAAATATTGTCAATTAGGGAGATTTTCACAAAGATAAGAGTCGCCATGTGTGGAACTTAACTTTTTCAGATTCTTAAGCATGGGAAAATCTGAAGGAGACGAATAATGCTTTGCAAGTCACAAAGATTGTCGAAAAGAAAAGTGACACATACGTATTCGAATCTTTAATATGATGAGCTAATATTATATTTTCACCAAGCTGTAAATGTGAATCATTAGGTCCAAACTACATCATCGATTAACTTGCTAATAATACAAATCAATTGTTTATCAATATAATTGTTTCTTTCAGGATTCAAAAGAAAAGAAGTAGAGGTGCTGCTGAAAGATAAGAGACGGCCAAGTAGAACAACACTGCAAAATTACTACATTTTTATTCATTTAGTTAAGAACAAACTATCAATGATTAGGAAAATAGAGTTTAAAGCATTTGAATTATGCATAATCATTGATGCCAAATCTTTATTTGTTTAACATTTTTGTTCTATTTTTGCATTGTGATGTGTAGTATGTGAGCATTTATGAGTTTTTTTATGCTGGTAGATAAAGAGAACTAAATCACCTAAGTTAGATGATGTTATGGGAGGGGTTGAGTTTGATGAGTATCTATTGGTAAAGGTGATAAAGGGTCATCAAAGAAACGAAAACATTTTCAGGAGGAGCGAGATGGGTAACAAGATGCAAAATACATTTAACTTGTAGTATATTCACGGTGAATTAAAGCTCAGGTAAAATGGACGAGGCAATAACCTTCTAATTCCTATCAACATAGTACAAAGTACAAACACAAAAAAATAACCCGCGCTAGAACTTAGCATTACGAAATTATTATGATTATTTGACATAGAAAACCATCTCAATAGTGTTTAGCTAAATTATTATTATATGGACTAATATGATAGTAATCTAATCTTAGAAACCATAAAATAATTAATATATAAGATAAAATTAAAATATATAGAACTACGGAATAATATGATTAGAGACAAATGGAAAATAAATTACGGGAGATAAATGAAAATACTATATACACTAATTTTTAGTTTCTTCTACTTAATTTTGTAAATGAAAATTAATGTGGAAATGATAAATATGTAAAACTAAACAATTAATAGTATCTTTTTCGCATTTTCACTAAATAAACTAAATAAAAATTAAAACAACATTAACCAATTTAAAAATATCAAATATCAAATGTACACCGGGCGTAGCCCGGATTTCCTCTAGTAATTTAATAAGATTGGCTATCAACCAAATCATAGATGTTAAAGTTGAAAGTGGATAACGCCGGTAGTATTCCATAGTAAAAAGGAATACAAGTACACTAAAATATTAAGATTTCTAAAGAGAGATAAAGTTCTGCAAATTAATAAAACATTTTAAACACAAAAAAAATATTTCTAAAATATGACAAAACATAAGCAACACATAAGCAAAACAAATTATAAGTTCAAATTTTAAGACTTTTAAACATTGTTGATTACTAGCTACATAAATTATAAGTTCAAATTTTATGACTTTTAAACATTGCTAATTACCAACTACACAAAATATGTAACAATATAGGAGACCTAAAAAAGGTTATAATTAATTGTTGTCCTAAGTGATAACTTAAATGGCTATGTCTCATGCAAGACTGATCTTATATAAATTATGGTTAAAACATTTGTTCTCCTTAATCAAGAAAACAATAAGCTTTTAATTGGTAACCACTTTTGAATTTTGAGGAAAAAAATGAGCAATATGTGTTTTTTTCTCTTAGTTCCTCAATTTATTTTTACCATTTACAAATACTGTTTTTCAATTTTCAGATATCTGGGTCTTAAACTTTCCATGATGATATGATATAATTACTATAGGAACAATCATGACGAACAAAAATTAAATTTTTTTTATCAGAAACAATTTTACAATAGCTTTTATAATAATATTTACATTTCTATACAAAATACTTTTTGCATTTTTATTATATTTATATATATATATAATATATTAAACTTTCCACTTTAAATAAATGCTATGAATTTATTTTAAATTAGTATCCTCTATATATTAAAAGAGAGATTTTAATGTTTGTGTGCAAACCCACAATTTTTCTCGATTATTTTATTTTATCTTTTTTTTTTTTTAATTCTACTATTCTTCTTACCAAACACTTATAATTCTACTATACTTATATTTATTAGGGGCTTTTGCAAAAAATGCCACTTTTCAAAAATACCCCTTTTTTTAAACCTTATAAAAAATGCTCTTAAAAATATAAAACTTACCCAAATATGTATGTAATATTATTAAAACTTACACAAACTACATTTCTATGTATCTAAAATTTTATAAATACTTTATAAATACCTTATAAATGCATTTTAAATACCTTTAAAAACCTTTAAAATATCTTGTAAAACCTTTGAAAAACCTTAAAAATCCTTTAAAATAACTTGTAAAACCTTTAAAACACCTTATAAAACCTTATAAATACTTGGATCGAGTCTTCAAGTAGTAGTTACAATCCATAAGTACCTTATAAACCTAATAAAACTTTATAAAAATTTCAGATTTAAAAAGGGACATTTTTGAAAATAGACATCTAAAAGGGGCATTTTTGAAAAGGGGCACACCAAAAGGAGTATTTTTTAACAATTTCCCTATTTATTATTCTAAAACTAAAAACCAAACACATTATTAAATTAAATAAACTTACTAAATAAACTTAAATATCTTCTTAAAATATTTATTCAATGTTTTTGTTACTATTTAGTATTTACTATAACCGTTTGTTCAATTTTCCTCTATTTCTTCATTTCATGTTCTATTTTGTTTCCTTTTTATGCATTTTCTTTTCCATTCTATTGTTATTATGGACACCAGAAATTTTCTGAACATCTATACTAGGCCTGGGATAATAAAGATGTTATTTAGAATTTTAAAGCTCTTAGTTTAAAAATATTTAATTCTAATATTTTCTATACAAAAATATTTATAAGAAAAACTAATATATAGAAAAAAATTGAGATAAAAAAAAACTCAAAAATATTCTTAATGAATGCCTCTAATTCATCGATTTCATTGAAAAGGAAAGAAAAGTGGCAAATATGTCAATTTACCTTTTCTAATTGATAAAATTATACTCTTATTCTTATTTTGTTAATATTCTTATATTTGGTTAATCCTAGATCTTTTCAATATAAATATTAAGCGGTGTATTGTGTTTATGTATGATGTTATAGATGATTTGATGTTATTTGCGTAAAAATTTTGGATCTGAAAAAGAAGGATCGACGACAAGCATTATTGGTCGATGTTTGTGCTCTTTCATATCGGTTATGAATCCGAAAACCTTGATTTGATGTTGTTTGAGTTAAATTTTTGGTTTTAAAGAAGAACGATCGATGATAAGCACAACTGTTTTATTAGCTATACATGTGGCCATGTTCATGTTACTTCCTCCGCAAGTAATTTACAATTTTGTAGCATTAAAGATTTTGATTTGAAAAGTTTCAATATATGTGATTTTTAACCGAGTATAGGTGTGAAAGTATCAAAGTTTAGGTGGTGGCTATGTGTAACACCATAAGACAGTTATGACATGACCTCTTTAAGGAAACATTTGGTTCATATGTAGCTGAAACTTGATGGCGAGGTTTCTCGTATTAATGTCTTGAGCTTGAATGGTGGGATATAGATTTAACCTGTTAGAGAAGATTTCTTCTAAAGTTTTAGATTTGACCACTCTCGTGGAGATAGCAAACGAACATGCAAACGTACTCGGTATAATCTGAAGTTTGGTAGGAGTATTCTAGAGATGTGGAACTAAGTTCTGGTAGAAGGGCATCGAATTTCAAGTTTAGAAGGTCAAATAAACGATGTTGTTTTGAGAAATTAATACATACGTTTATGGAATTATGTTTGGTTAAGGTTAGTAAATTTAAATTTTTTGCTATGTTATTATTCATAAAATCACGAATGTTTTACATAGAAGAAGGAAGAAAGTGAGGCAAATGAAGAGAAAGAGGAAGAGGAAGAGGAAGACGGCGAGGAAGAAGAAGAGTATAACGAACACGGCCACATAATTGTGTTGTTCAATGTTAATATAGCGTTTGCTTAATATTCCCTGTTGTTATTCTTCTAAAGTTCGATAGTAGGTCTATAGTATTTGGTTGAGTCTTTTTTTCTTAGGCTGTGACTGGTTAAAAGAGTAGAAGAAATGAAAAGAAAAAGTAGAAAAAAAAAAATGTCACATCAGAAGGAAAAATGAATTCTACTAGTTTTGAGTATGGAAGAACTCCTCTCGTTTAGTTATTTTTTGATATTTCACCAGATATAATTTTCTTCTGATTTTTTTTTTACTGATACATGTCAAGAAAAGAAAAGTTCTTCCTTTTTCATTTTTTCTATTAAAGGTAATCAGTCACATCCTTACTATTTACTTTTTGTTGTTGTCGTATTTCATTTATATTATTTATAATCATGTTTATTATTAAATAAATATTTTTGTTTAGTCCTATTTTAATTTTTATATATGTTTTATAGATTTTTAGATAAAATTCTATACATATTGACAAAAAAAGAAAGATGAAATTTTATACATAAATAGTAAGCCACATTTTTAAAATTTTGCTTTACGCCTCAAAATTTTTAGGACCGGCCATGCTTGACTCATCTAAAACTTGTGATGCATTGCTCAATCTTAACATCTAGAAATCTCAGCTCTATTGGAAGCTCCAACTCGAGCAAGTTCAAAGCACACACAAGCTGTAGAGTTTTCAGCCACCCACATCCATCATTTTTATGTATCTTCTCATTGGTTATTTTATTGGGATTGGACACTTTTTTTATATTTTAATGTGATAGTAGGTTTCCAGTGATTGATATCTTATATTGATATATCCAAGACCTTTGACTCTGTGCAATGGGAATTCTTGCTGAACACACTCGAAGCTCTGAATTTTCCGGGAAAATTTATTCACTGGATAAAGCTATGCATCACAACAGCTACCTTCTTTGTTCAAGTGAATGGTGACTTGGCGGATTTTTTCAACAGTTCTCGTGGACTGCGTCAAGGTTGTTCTCTTTCTCCATATCTATTCCTCATTTGCATGAATGTCTTGCTGAACACACTCGAAGCTCTGAATTTTCCGGGAAAATTTATTCACTGGATAAAGCTATGC